TTTGGCTCAAAAAAAAAAAAAGTCAAATCATAGTGAGACGTAAAAATCAAGACAACAAAATGTAAGAATTCTAAATCTAAGAATTCAAGAATAGTGTCAAGCTTAATCTAGTGGCCTACCTGTCACTCAAAAACCTGAGAGGCTGAGGCAGGATGATTTTGAATTCTAGGCTAACCTGGGCTACATAATGAGATCTTGTCTCGCATGCTCTCCCTGCAAATGCGCTAATTTTTTATCCTTAGTTTTTGTGTGTGAGTGTCTGGCCTGCATATATGTCTGTGCACCACTTGCAGGCTGTCAGAGCCTCTGGATCTGGAGTCACAGACAGTTGTGAGCTGCTATGTAGGTGTTAGGAACTAAACCTAGGTCCTCTGGAAAAGCAGCCAATGAGGCACTGTGCCATTTCTCCGGTCCCAGGATAATCCACTTTTGATTAACTTACTCTGCTGTTAAAAGAGGCCCACTAGTTAAATCTATGGATCTTAGCACAGGTGATTTCATGAAGAACAGTAGGAAAGTGACCTAACATAGCCAGACTGTCTCCTAGTCAGCAGTATTTAGCCTTCGGTTTCATTTTTTACACTTGACTTTTCTTCACATGACAAGGACAGAAAAACAAGTCCGTTAAAAACTATAAATAGAAAATCAGGAAAAAGAAAAATCAACATGTCCCTAACCACCACCACCATAGTGCTAGCCAGCAAATCCCACCATGTGTCTTTCATCACTGAGTTGGGCTTTTTGCTCTGAATTACTGAGCATTTTGTTTTAGACAAGGTCTCAGGTAGCACAGGCTGGCCTTGAACTCAGTATGTCATTACAGATGACCTTCAACTACTGGTCCTCATGTCTCCATTCCCTCCAAGTTCTGGGATTAGAGGCATGGACAACCACTCTGGGCCCAGGCCCTGCTGTGGATGGATCCCTGGGCTTCGTGCATGCTAGGGAATCAGTCCAGCAACTGAGCCACGTTCAGCCCATTGCTTCCTGCCCCTTCCCTTCTCTTCTTTTTGGGGACAGGGTCTCTCTATGTCGCCTTGACTAGCCTGGAACTCACCAGGCTGACTTCAAACTCACAGAAACCCAACTGCTTCTGCCTTCTGAGTGCTAGGGTTAAAGGCCTGTGCCCCTGTGCCCAGCCCCATATTACCAATTTTGAGAAAGACTTTATTGCTTCTGTGTTCTTTTATGGGGGAAAAAGAAAGATTAGTCCTCTGTCACCTTAGGGTGAGTGTGAATTCTAAATGCAATTTCTCTCAACAGTCTTGTGAGGGACACACAATGGTGACAGTTAGCTGAACAGATAGCTTAGACTGAAAACTTGTTTGAGCCTCTTTTTTTTCTCTACGTATTAAAAAAAAAAAAGCGCTCCTGTAAAATCTGGTTCACAGTGCCCATTTTCTCTAGAGCTCTGGGTTTGAGGGGCCCACTCATTTCTGAGGAAAGACCACAGCATGTATTTTAGGGCACTGCCTCCGGTTCTGGAGGCCCTGTCTAATTTCCCAAGTCACCCACAGAGCCTCTGGTTTAACCTGTAAAGCTTGGGTTTCTTATAACTCCTTGAGACTAAGAGGCCTCCCTTCTCTTCCAACAACCCACACTGCGGGAAATAGAACAGGTAGCTTACACCATCTTACACCAGCATGTCGGTTAACCTGATGGTGGCAAAGTGACAGGAGTGTGGGCTTGGCTGTTTCTTTTCCCAGAAGTGATTTTCCTCACTTCAACAGCAGAAGAAAATTTTTAGTTTTTGATGTGTGTGTGTTTAGGTTGCCATGTGTGTGGGGTGTGTGAGTGTAGGTTGCTAAACATGTATGTTTGGGGGGAGCTCATGCATGTGGGAAGGGATGTGCCCATGCATATATATGTATGTGAACCCCTGCATGTGTGTGTGTAAGCTCATGTATGTGTGTCTGTATGGAGTTCATGCATGTGGGGAGGGGGTGTCTTAGCATGCATGTGTACGGGAACCCAAGCATATGTGTGTAGCTCATGCATGTATGTGAGAGCTCATGTGTGTGTGTGTCATGCATGTGGGAAGGGGTGTTCCTGTGTATGTGAAGCTCATGTATGTGTGTGTGTGAGGAGTTCATGCATGTGAGGGGTGTGCCCATGCATGCATGTGTATAGGAGCCCATACATGTGTGTGTATGTGTGTAGCTCATGCATATGTGTGTGTGAGCTCATGTATGTGTGTGTGTGTGGGGGCTCATGCATGTGGGAGGGGGTGTTCCTCT